ATTCCCAGGATTCTTCCCGCAGGGTTCCTGCTCAGTTATTTATTTATTTCCAGCTTCGCCTCAAATTAAATCCACATTTTGACAAAGTTGAAGCACGCCAAGGCCTCGGAGGGATGGGCGACGGGCGGGGGACGGCGTCGGCCCTCTGCATCATATGGACCAGATTCTCAGAGGAAGTCGGCGTGGTCCTTTGATCCGGGCGAAGGTCACGCTGAGGTTTCATTTCTGTTCTGATGAGACCAGAAGGCGGATGTTTTGACAGGATCATCCACCGCCTATCGTCAACGTAGGAGGATCTTGTTGTTGGAGATAATAAATGGCGCTCTGCACGCTGCAGGTTGCCCGCCCACGTAACTCCAGAGGTTCCCTGGGTGTGTTTGTGGAGACCTGGGAGGTCCGGAAAAGCGGCCCCTCCCTCGGCTGTGCTGTTTTTTTGTACGACGTCCTTCATGAAGCTGTAAATTCTGCTTCAGCTGCAGTTTCCACTAAACCCACGAACGACACATCGATTTCATGTTACCGGCTCCAGTTTCTTTTACATATGCATGCACATCTGTGCAGACATCTGCACACTGGATGCAGCGGCGCTGGCTTCAGGTTGGCTCGCGTTCGCGTCTGGCCCCGCCCGTCGCCCGCTGCTTTCTTGTCCTCCTGTCCTGTTGTTCCCGCTCGCTCTCAGAACTCTTGTTTTATGAGGCAGGTTCACATCTGCTTCCAACTGTCCGTCACACGTGGACATTCAGCCGAGGAGCGGCCGGAAATTTCCGTGGGGAGTTGTTATTCCTGTCGGTTGGATTTGTGCTTGTTCTTCTCATTTCTCAGAATTCAGTGTTTTTAAAAATCCGTTTGTTTGCTTGTTGAAACGGCGCTCCGACTCCCACAGCTCCGCTCTGATCTCCTCTGTGTCATGACACAAACTTATTTATTTATTGTGGAATTAATACGTTTAATTCATTCGCAGCTCTCGGTGGAGCAGTTGGGGGATCTTTGGTAAAGCTGCTTTATCATGTGTAATCATTTCTTAAGTACTTTTTAACCTCTAACATCTGTTTTCTTAAACTCTGCACACACAACTCATTTAACAACAGCAACAACATGAAATCATCATAAAAGATTTTTAAAGGAAACCAACTCTGTGGGATTAGAGCTGCAGACACTCAAATGTTTTCTCATTTCTTTGTCTTCAGCCACATTAAACTGAATTTTGGGGTTTTTACTGAACACTGAAGTCAGTACTCAGCGTTTTGGCTTTTTCTTTTACTCTAAGTGGGACTTCCATGTTTCAACAAAAGACCCAAAACTACGGTGGCCCTGAGAGGTCAAATGGACGGAAACTGAAGAAAACACCAGCAGTAAGAAAAAAGCTGCAAAAGCACACAAAACACAACGGAAACAGGAAAAAAATGATTTACAAAAGCACAACCAAAATATGGTAATATTTAATAAATATGCAGGAACTGCGTTGGGAGTCACTTAAAATAAGTGGAGGATCGGTTTTGTGATTTTAAACAAAGAAACAAAAAAAACGTGAGAGGTCAGAGTGTTAGCCTGACTGTTAGCCTAAAAATCTGTCATCAGTATTACATGAACCATGACATTAAAACACACTTACCTAGCATATTTTGGTTCCTGCAACTGCTCCGTCGGGTTATTGCCTCCCGTTTCTGTTGTGTTTTGTGGTGTTTTTCTTATTTCTGGTGTTTTCTTGAGTTGCAGTCCATTTGGCCTCTCAGGGCCACCGTACAAAGCTCTCAGCTGAGACAGTAAACTCGTCAGGAAAGTGTTGTTAAACTTGGAAAGTTCGGCTCTTTTTCTCATAGACGTTTATGCAATGACAGCTTTTTGTAACCAGCAGTGTCGCCCCCTGCTGGCCATTTGGAATAATGCAGGTCTATTCTAGCTTGCAGCATTGACCTTTGACATTCGGGTTATTCCATAGAAATCTGAACAATTTCCCCATCAGCTGATTGTTTCATACAGTAACTTTAATTTTTTTTAATGTAGCCATGCAAAGCTTCACCTTCATAGTTTTTTTTTGTGTTATTTCTTTGCTTTAGCATTAAAGTATGAGGGATTTTAAAAACTTGTTGAGTTTAGGACCTGAATGGATTAATCAAGTCCAAAATATCATGCAAACACAATAAATTATGACTACGGTACGTGAGCGTTTTGATAGAGTCAAGCACAGCTGTGCCAGGATCTTCTCCTACAGAGCACCATTCATCTGTTCAGTTGTTCACCACATGCTGATGAAGGTTTACCCACAATGCGCTTTTGTGAAGTTTCCTCCAGTGAATTATGAGAAATGGATCAAAGATCCGGGGAAGCCGGTGGGTTTCTGCTCCTGGGTGGAGCTTATTCAAACATCGACCAACCCCGTGATACAGACGCTCACCGCTGAGCAAAACTGTGCCGAGCAAACTCTGGTGTTTAGATTGTGACAATTTCACTGCATAAAATTACTTAAACTTCAAGATTTCTTTTTCTTTGATAGATTAAAGTGTTTGAAACTACTTAAAGTCACGAGGCTGTAAAAATGCTGGATAAATTAATACGTGTGAACCGTGAATTAAATAAAGATGCTAATGTTATTGATGCTCAGGTGATTCTGAGGGTTCAGGTGGCCTCTTGCTTTCCATGATTTGGACGTAGCTACGAGTCTCTGGTTCTGTTTTGTACACCCGTCATCCACCCGACCTCCTGCTGATGGAGTTTTGAATGCAGTTTCTCAGACTTGCTGTGGAAGTTTGTTTTCTCACACTTCCTGTTGGTCTTGTGGGTTTGTTGGGAGAGTTTTCAGGCCGAGCTGGTCAGCGCTGGCACTGCACACAGACGCACTCCTCGCCGCCTTATGTTCTCGCAGATGGCCCATCGGCTCGCCTTTAGCAGCAGCTAATGGCGAAGCGGCTCGGAGGGTGGATTTGCATTTCTATTATTCTGTAGCTGGAGCTTCTTCCTCTTGTTCCAGTTGGAGCCAAGCTAATTACAAATGTAATTACGAGTGGGAACGTGGATTAATCTGAATGCTTTTTACAGCAGATTTTAGAGGAAGTGCAGATTGTTGAGTCACCGAGGTCCCCGTTTGGCTCTCGATGCTTCTGCTTTTGAAACTCATCCATAAGTCGCCAATAATGAGGCCTAAATTATCACAAAGACACACGCGTCCCCCTCTCTTCCTCCCCCACGCTGTAACAGAACAATGTGGACTCCTTACATCCTCACACCGGAAGAATAAGCTGCCTCTGTTTACACGCTGCAGATCCGGCTGGATGAAAGAAGCGCTTAAATAGCTGAAATGTGCCTAATCTCCGTGCTAAATATCCAAATCTCATTGTAAAGGTAAACCACGCCGTAATCCCGAGTTTCGCCGGGCGCAAACACAACCTGTAGTCTCGTCCCGAGGGAGCTCTATCCGCCGCTCGGTTTGTTGTATCAGTGGGATGTAGAGGCGGGGGGCGTTGAATGGTGGGAATATTTGCGTCTCGCAATGGCGTCAGTGTCACCTGTCAGTCTGGGAGCTTCCTCAGGAAGGTGACCGTTTTTAGAGGCTCTCCCTCTCGTTCTGTTTGTCACGCTGCTCTCGTCCTGTCTGTGCTAATAATAGAGGCATCAGCTGTGACTTTGTGGGACTGAAAGGTGACGGGAAGGGGGGGGGGGAGGCAAATGGACGTAGAATGAGGAAGAGACGGGAAGAATTTAAAGTGCCACTGAAGTGCTAATGTTTCACCGCAGCTAAGACGCCTGGCTCTCCGATTAGCTGCCACAGAGGGATGCCTTTCCCCTAATTGGCCCCTGTGTGGCGTTTCTGTGTGCTCATTGGTTGCTCCGAGGATTTCCAACGAAGGAATGTCCTCTCAGGTTCAGACAGGCGCTGCTCCACGTTAAGACTTCATGTTTGGAGGCGATTCAAAGTACGAGCCACCAGAGACGGACCAAAGTCGGTTTGATTAATGAGGACAGTATGAAGACAACCGGTGCAGGTTCACATCTTAAGTTAAATAAGCTCTTATTTTCAGTTCTTCCTTCCATTTTTAACCCTCCCACCTTAACCTTAACATGCAATGACGCTGCGATCATCCTGGCGCCGACACTGGTGGGAAAACAAACTCAAACACAATAGATGTCGTAAAATGTGCAAAACAGAAGCTTCGGGATTCCAATAAAGAAGACAGTTTGAGACCTCCGGCTGTTACCGTGGGCACGCCAAAGCATGGCCGTGACCCGGAGACACAAACGGCATCAAGCGATCCAAATAACATCCTCACCAAGTTCCCTCCACACCTCAAAGAACAGCTTCAAGTAAATCTGAAAGACGAAAATAGCACATCTGTGTGTGTAGCCGTGGTTACAGGAGCCACTGACTTTATTTTGAAAGCACTTTCCAAGATCCACGTTCCAAAGTGCTTCGTCTGAGTTTCAAAATAAAACAATAAGCTGTGATAAAAGTTACAGGAAGTGAAGCTCCGGTGAAATCAGGACGTTTGATGTGAAAGAAGCGCCGGACTCGACCGACCTGGTTTCCAAAGGCAGATTGTCTGAGAACCTGCAGGCTCTGTTTGGAGCTAATAGGTCAGCTGTAGTAAGAGCAAGGCTTTAAATCTGTCCCTACAAATGGTGCTGGGTACTGAAAGTACTACCCCACCTCCTCTTAGAGATAAAAGCTTCTCATCTTTATCAGACAGCAGCACAGGAGCCTCGTAAGAGGTGATGACGTCAGATATTTTGTGTTAGACTCAAGCTGTCTCTGCCCAATCGGGGCAGCGTGAGGAAGAAGAGCGGGGAGGGACACCCACCTTTTTATTAACGTCTGGCTCTCCAAGTTTAGACTTTACTGGCAGCTTTTCACATTTTGTTCTCAAACCGATGATGAATCATCTTCCAGATCTCTCAAACATCCCACTCCCACTCTGCTTTTAGTTCTGCATCCCACCCCTCACCAGTCCTCACCCTCGTACTCTGTTACCCCCCCACGACTGTCACTGCCGCTCAAAGAGCAGCAGCAAGTGTCCGGTTAGTTTATTTATAATGGTGGGAGATGGAGCCACGTCTGGATGCTTATTCTGGCCCCTGAGCAGCGGCGCGCCGGATGTCGGGCTACGTTTCGGTAAATGAGTGTTTGTTTTATTGCAGTTAGTTTAAAAACTTGTGCTTTGATATTCTGATCATCGTCTCCGGACCTCCAGGTCGGCACGTCGGGTAAATATTACACCGAAAACCTCATCAACTGCAGGAAAAACCCTGAAACGTTTCTGGATAAATGTCTGGGCTTTGGGCTTGTAGTGTCGGTTCCACGTTTGCTTTTTAAAAGTGGATTTACTTTGACATCCCTCTTAGAGATACGCCCGCGTTCCTCAGCAGCCGGCTGTCATTACGCTTGCATTAGTTTGGCTGGTTTTGCACAGCGTTGCCTCATTTCTTTACATCCTGCAGCTGCTGTGGTTTTACAAGGAAATAAATTCACCTTCAGGATTCTTTGTTCTGTTTTCAGGAAAATCAGCAGCTTACAGAAAGACACAGAAAGGCTTTCGTGTTGAACTCTGATTTATGAAAGCACGCAGCAAGCGCTGGAGCGACACCATCATCTCCGGTTCGGTCGACCCTGACGAACCCTGGTTCAAGTTACATGGTTATTTGGAGTAAATAAAACATATAGATGATGTGGAGGGGAGGCTTCTCTTTGATGGTTTTGACCAATCAGGAAGCACCAGGTTCTCAGTCTGAATCCAGATTTAAACCCGAGATGCTGAAACCAAGAGCTGCCGTTTCCTTCCCTTCTCGGCTGTCTTTGCCCACCTTCCTGCCCACCTGTGCTACAACACCAGGAGGTGGGTGGAGCATCTTTGGGGGGCGGTGTTGTAGATGATGAGGTAATGGCAGCTTTCTGTCAAAGACTTCTCTCTGTGCCCTTCGTGTCTCCGTGCCTCTCTTTCTGTGCGCTGACAGCTTCTCTTCATCCAGCTCGCCGGCGCTTTCACAGCGACGCTCCCCCGCCATCGTCAGCCCCATTGTCGTGCGATGAATAGAAAGGCTGTGTTTTTGATAGGTGAGTGAGCGCCAGGAGGGAAAAGAAGAAGAAGAAGAAAAATGGCCTTGAAGGTTTTGGAGATGTGAGAAAAGGCGTGGCGTAGCTTAACGCTCTGGAGGGAGGACAGGAAGTGTTTGAGATGAAGAAAGGCGTGCGAGGACAAAATGTAAAACAAAAAACATCCCGAAACAGAGAAAAGCAGCGAAGGCAATCAGACGAAGAGAAACCGATGACAGATTGAACAGCACAGAAAAGCAATAAGGAGGAAGAGGAGGGAGGGATGTTGCCTCTGGTGCTGCAGTTGAAGGGACCCTATGTGAAAGCGAGGGGGGGCCATCTTGGACTACTTTCAAGAAGCCTCAGTAAAACTTTAACGCTCCAGAAGTAATTCCAAGGAGCTTCAGTGGAAATGAAAACATTTAAAAGTAGAAAAAGCAACTCGACTCTGACAAAGCAAATGTCGAAATTCCAGCGATTTTAACTTCTCTCGCTCCGGATGTTGACTCGTCGTAGAAAAGCTCGAGCAGCGGGGGGAACGACACCGTGGCGCTCCTGATTAAAAACAAAGTTTTGTCCAAAGGTGATGCACGCCGAGGGCGAGGCGGCGACAACAAAGGGTCCTTTGAGCTGGTTGAAAAGCTACCTGGGAGGCCGGGTGTTGTTGTTGCCGGGGAAGTCCTGCGGTGATTTCACTCTCTCCAGCGGGCATCTGCTACGGGGCAAAGTGGAGTCACGGCGGGGGGTCCCTCTTTCTCATTCTCGCCTTCTTTCTGTCTAATGAAAGCAGTCGGGGGAAATCATTTGTGTTGTCACACACACACACACACACACACTTGCTCAGGAGGGGATCCTCTCCGCCATGAAAGAGCTGTATGAATAACAACCTCTGAGTTCACCCTCCACGCTCACAATGGACACACACACACACCTACACACACTCAGTCTGACCCTGCACACAATAGAGAAGGCATGCATTCATTAGCAATTCCAAGAAGGCTTTGACTGGTTTGGCATTGTTGGCTAATCCAAGGTCCCACCGTATATCACCTTCACCTCCCCCTCTTGGTTTATCCTCCTCTCCCTCCTTTCTCTCAGCGCTTTCATTCTCCTGACTCGACTCGTTGGATAACTCAGCAATGAGTGATTCAAGTGTGTGTGTCTGTGAGAACTAATCAGATTACTCCCCAGCATTGATAATATTATTCCTCCTTACACCCTCCGTGCAGTCCGTGATGGATTTCTATCAGCAATGAGATTTGCGTCGCACAAATCGGTTTAAGGTGCCGAACTCGTCGTGAGATTGACTTTTGATGGAGTGTGAGCTTTGAGTTCGGCCTGTTCGGGTTCAAACCGCTCGTCTAACTGTGCCTTTCTTGTGTTTCCTCACAGATCTCGAAGGTGCTCGGCACAATGGGACTCGTAACCCTCTGAGGGGCGAGCACAAAAGCCGGAGAGGAGCAGGAATAAAGCCGAGTGAAGAAGAGGAGGAGGAACAGAAGAAAGAGAAGATTCTTCCCTGGCGCTGGAGAGGGAGGGAGATTTGTAAAGAGGGATTTGCTCTATCTGTCGGGGGTGCATGCTCCCCCGAGCCCCCCGCCCTCCCACTCGGACATCCTCCTCTTTATTTTATTTTCTGCATCAGCGACGGTTCGACGAAAGGTGAAGAATGCGCGATAAACAAAGTTCGGGCCGGCTCGGGCTGAGCAACGGCCTCGACGTGAGACTACCCAGGACTAGAGTCGTGCTGCTGGGCGTGCTGCTCGCCGTGGCCGCGGCCGCGGAGCTGGACATCGACGTGCTTGGCGGCATGGTGTTGATAGAAGCGGGCGGAGAAAGCGAGAGGTTCGACGGAGGCCGAGGCGAGCTCGAGGCCTCCATGCACTCCTCGCTCTTGCAGGACTTCCAGGAAGTGACGGAGGGCGTCGCGGCGGCGGACGTTGGAGAAACGGCAGCAAATCAGCAAAACGCGGCTACGCCCACGGCCTTCCCCGACTCCTCGGCGGTGGTGGGTCGGATTTTCCGGATGAAGGTGCCAAACAAGATGGAGGACGTCTACCTGGGTGATATCGTCAAGGTGAGTCGCACAACACACGTTTGATTAAACGCGCCAAGACGTCTTACTTTAAATACATTCTGGTCTTTCTTATGAGCTTATTAAAATCCTGTGTTCGGGTTTAAAGTAGAAGCTCAGAATAGAAACTAGAGGAACACATGCAAAACAAGCAAAACGGCGCTCACAGGAGAACAACGCCACAGAGTATCAGAGGCCAAAAAGTTTTGGGGAGTTTAAAAATCCAAAGACTCAGAGGGACTCTCATTTAAATAACAATTAGAACACATTCATCCTGCTGGTTGAAGGAAGTCCGGATGCATTTGCGTGCACGTGCCTTCATCAGGGAGTCGGACAGATTTCTTCTGCAGCAGCGACGAGTCTCGCTGGATTACATCACAACAGTTGTCAAATACAGGAGAGCTCAACAAGAAAAGCAACAGCTGTGGTCTGAAAGGACGCCACCTCCTGAAGTGTTTGTGTTGACGTGCTTTGAGGCTCTTGTACGAATTTGAAGATTGCTGGATTCCTCTTGGTGGGAAGCTACTGGAAAATGGCTTCTGGCCCACTTCCAGTCCATTCCCTCCACCCTGCTGCACGGTGACAGCGGTAGCTGCTGAAGGGTTTCTGGTTATAGGCTGCACAATTGAAAGACTTCTGTGAGTGAAGTATGAGATGAATAAGACCATGTCCGGCTCTTATTTCGCCGGCATGCTGTCGCTTTTAAGTGACCGTGTCGTGTTTCCAAGTTTTGGAGATTTTTTTTGAAAGGTGCAGCCTTAACCTCGTCTGTCAAAACTAAATATAGTTCGGCAGTAAATCAGACGCCACTGAAAAACCTCACAAGAAGC